ACGAAGCTCTCTCAAAGTGCGATGATATCACCGGGTCATGAACAAACAGGTACTGAGAATCACCGGTTTAAAAGAACTATCAGATGAATTCAGGGACAAGTGCTTCGTTTCGTTTGATAAAACAGCCCAAAAAAGAATGGAAATATATTCAAAACTTTTCCCTCCTATGAAACGTGCACTGGTCGCAGACGCGTCGAAGGACAGTACAACAGAAAGTGGAAAAACTGCGTTAAAGCAAACCTGCATGCAAAGAGGAATGCGACCTTTGCGGCGATAGTGAACTTCGCTTAATATTGATCTAAAGGACCATTTCTAAAAGTCAGATATCTGGGTTTTGCTGTTTAAACTCTATTAACTTCAGATGACAATCAGAAAAGAATACCAGCATCCGTTTTTGCGTCATCGATCATACGTGCTCGTTGTTGTTGTTAGGGCTATATCTGCAGCTAGGATTTGATAATCATGTTTCTGACTCGGAAGGATGAAAGGTGAGTGACCTGCCTGACACAGGATCTATCGACTGATAAATGGATGCTCCATCGATTAGGCAACATGGCTTGCTGCAGAAGACAGAAAAGTCCGGAACACCCTGACGAGTTTCGTAACTGGATATTTCAGAACCGAACGAACGGGTTTCAAAAGGGCGTAGCACCAAGCAAATAGGCCGCAGAAAAGAAAACTGCGATGGTTTCTGTGTTATGTTACAGAAAGCCACAAAAACGACTTTCCGGAAACAGTCTACGGCCGTGTTCGTAGAACGGCATTGCTCACCGAAGAAAATAGCGTGACGACTCCAATTTGGTAATACTTACAATTCTGACTAACAGGAAATTGGGCGTTATTCATTCGATTAGATTATGAACGGAATGTGAAATCATCAGTAGCTTATCATTGTTTTAGAGATGCGAAAGAACTACGGTTACCGCCTTGTCCACGATCAAGATTGATGGATCGAATTAATCGGCCTGTATCAGAGGCAAATGAACATGAAGACGAAGCCCGCTCTCACTGCGAACGGATGAGGGTGTGACGTTACAGCATAAGCTGTCGGAGGAGGAGGACACCATGACCATTTGACATCGTTATCTTTGTGTCGGTTTTACCAGTTTTCGA